GTGGGTTCTTGCAAATGCCATTAGAAATGTTAGAACAAGCCAGAGGAACCTTTTGTGTATTATCCGTCTATGTAGTAATGGCAGAATATAATTAAGGTTAATTCAATTCAAGTTATTTTTATAAAACTTACCTACTTAACATTGGCACCAGCAAGAAATGCTTGACATGCTGATTCCTGGACAGAAAGTTTAGGTTGTAGACCTAAAGGAGGATGTTTTATTTCTTAAATTTTTGTTAGGAATGATGAATTACTAAATAGTAATGATATGAAGAGGGAGAATGCATTTACTTTATAAAATGGAAGAATGAACAGACTTACTACAAACAAAAACATGGAAATCCCAAATTCCAGTCTGTTTACTTCCAGAGAAACAACACTGGTGCTGAAAGGGTTACAAATATAAAAGTCATAGGCTTCAAAACAAAAGCTCCAAATTCAAAGGGTTCAAAGGGCCTAAAGAAGAGTTCTGTCCTGTCTTAAAGTCTGTTTTGATGATCCTTATCCTATATGTAAATAGTTTGTTTGACCTTCTCGTTCACTCTCTTTCTGGATTAGGGTGATCCTTTAGCTTCTTTGTAAATAGTTAATTTGAGCTTGTAAATATTTAAACGTACTACGAGGAGTTTTTTGAAACAGTCTAATACATTTAATACTGATGCCTCCATATGACCTACATAAACAAGACCATCAGGGACAAGACTGGCTCTTTCTATACAGTTATTCCTAATGCTCGCCACTGGGTCGCATTTGGTCCGATTTTCCATTGAAATCAATGAAACAAGGCGGTAGAAACACTACTACGTTTGTGGCAACCAGAATCAAGTGAAAGTTCCTTGTAGGAGCTTTAAACAGTTTTAGTATTTAACCTTGTTTAACCTTTTTACTCATTTCAAACCTACGATGTCCCTGTAGTGAGTTTGTGATTAATTACCATCACTGTATATCTAACAAACAGTTTGCAGGGATTATTTTTTTGTGATTAAAATGCACTTTTTTTTTCCCTTTCTGACTGTAACAACTTAAATGTTGTTTTAAAACAACAAAAAAACAAATAATGGAAAACTGATTGTGGCTAAACACCTAGAGTGATTTACATTTTTTTTATTCAGATATAAGTGCAGGAGACAACTAGCAGAACTGAGTGAGTCACTGAAGTGATGCAAATGATTAAACTATACTTATTATCCTTCAAGTTGGGACAACTGGTTTTTAATCCGGGGACAGTTGAAAGTAGAACTCGGGATAGTTGCAGGACACTGAAGAAAAAGGTTAATTTCAAGCCCTGGACTCA